GCTCGGTTGCACTAAATAGCCAAAATATAGCAACAAACAGTTACAAGATCTGTTCAATAATACAAGACAAACGGATACAGAGGCTTATCTTTACAAAAACCTTTAGATCGAACTCCCTTAAGGCATAAAATAGGCCATATCACAAAGTTCTTCCTAACACTTCATTTACTGTTCGAATCACAAAAGATTCAACACCCAAATCACTCAAAGAATACTCACTTCACGACAATTAGAAGTAGATCTAAGAGAATATACAGTTTACACGATTCAATCACTCAAGAATGTAAACCCTAGAAAGAATGGGGTTATTCTCTCTAACAAGCACGAAAGAACCAAGAGCCAGAAGAGAGAACCAATAATGATCCAAAGAGTGTATCACAGAAGATAAAGAGTCGAAGACTCTAGAATCACATCCAACGGCTAGAGAGGTGCCAAGTGTCAACAATCCAATCATTGTCTCTAATTTATAAAAGTGTCATTCCATAAACACGATTTTAACACAGATTGTTGAAAGCACATTAATAGGCAGGTCACGGGTTCGAAACTCAACACTAATGAATTGATAAATTTATTGAAGCTGGGGATGGTGAAAAAGGATAGGAATTTCGCAAATCGATTCTGTCACGGGAAAATCTCTGCCAATGCTGGGATCAAACTAGGGTCTGTATTTCAATTTTTTAGACTACTATATATAAACTATATGCACTTGTAAAAATCTGGTATAATACATTAATACCTCTCTATCCATGTAATGAAATTATCCAACAATCATAATAGTTTAATAAATGTTCTTGTTATAGTTTTAAGTGTCTTCTAATAGTAATACTCAACCACCAGAAGGCATTTCAGTATTTTTATCCTCCAAGTTTGTTGCACCAATAATGTGTACATCATAGTTAACAATGAGTTTGACACCCTTTCAAGTAATAGCGATCTACACTATTGATTTTAAAAACATCAATTCTATCACTGTTCAAATTCCTTTCACTTAAGGAGATGTCATACTTTGTATCAACCAATAATGTACATCTATCTTAATTCTTACCGAATGAAGAAGACAAAGCGTAGGGAAGGCTATGGGTAAGTGTGGAGCCGACTCACCCTGTTAGGGAATTTCAAGAGGTGGGTCAGCGGCATGATGTGTCTTAGATTAAAACACCTTTATATATAGTTTTGTCTATATATACACGGAAAATTCTGTTTGTACTAAAAAGTTTTATACAGAAAATTTACAGACACTCACATGGGGGTGGGCCCCACGTGAATTAAATATTGTAAAAAAAAAGGGCCCCACATATTGCATGTATTATGTAGATTGTCTGTATATTTTTCTTGTGTACACACATCATGTTTCATATATGCATATGATTTCAATTGAAAACATAATGATAAAATGAAAAGACCTAGTACGGGTTTGGGGAATTCAGGAAGGACCATTTTTTTGTCCTCACCCTATTCAAGGTGGGGGCAATACAAGGCTAGTTGGGAGTGAAATTTTTTTGCATCCTTACCAAAGTGATGAAATTTAAACTTAAATGAAGCTTAATGGCTCAATCCCTACTTAAATTTCATTTCAAAAATTAAATTTTAATTAATTTTTTAAGGTGTTAATTATATTTTTTAAAAACAAATACGCTCAACTTTAATTATTTAGTTATTATAGATATGGTGATTCTACTCCTTTAAAAAGTTAAAGTATGTTTAGAAAACAAATACGCTCAACTTTAATTATTTAGTTATTATAGATATGGTGTTTCTACTCCTTTATAAAGTTAAAGTATGTTTAGCATGTAGTCATGTACTATTGAATAAGACTGAACAAAAAAAATTCGATTTTTAGCTAAATCAAACAGGAGAGTTACTTTTTTAAGAAAGTAACGTTTTACTTAAAATTATAATTACCGAACAAGTTTGGGCAAACAATAATTTTACTTTAATTTATGTTCACAGAATATTTTATTCCTCACTCATTATTGAGGGTGGAGTCAAGTCGAGTAACACGTGTAGGTGCAGGGAAGGAAGGAAGAATTAGGAAGGGAATAAACTATTTTACTAATGCACTCATATTTGGTGGAAATTAAAATTTTAATTTAAGTTGAAGTTAATAATTATTTTCAACCGCAAATTTTATTGGATTTATAATTTCTATATTTTATTAAAATGTATTAAAAATTTAATTTTAATTTTCAACAAATAAGGGAGTAATATATTTCCATATACACGGACCTGACCTTGACCAATTTCAAATGAAGCATCTCATATTACCATATATGAGCAAATCAAAATTAANCATATACACGGACCTGACCTTGACCATTTTCAAATGAAGCATCTCAAATAACCATATATGAGCAAATCAAAATTAAGATTCATTCAGGATTTGACCCAACGGTAAAAAATTGATTAAATCAGTGTTTAACTAGGAAACTTTCCTTGTTGGATCAAACTTTCCTTTCGTACTCGGACTCATCTCCACAAACTCTGTCTCTATATATAGAGCGATACTTGCATACATTCTTTGCAACAAAAATCAGATTGAATTGAGTTTTCACTGCTTTTTCCCTTGATAATTAATTACCCAGCAAGACCATGTCCAAGTTCTTATCAAAAATCCTTCTTCCTATATTGATGCGCGAGGCCGGGATGTGTGATGTTGATGAAGAAAGCATGATGATCTTAAACCCTAATATGATCATTGGAAAGTTGCAGATTCATAATATTGAAAACAATTGTGGGCCGGTCGAAGATGTTGAAGAAGAAGAAGAAGAATATGGGTGTGGAGAGACTGAACAAGATGATGATGATGCTGCTGCTGCATGCAAGAAACTGAAAGAAAATCCTGTCAAGAAAATCATTGAGAATAAATACAAAGCAGCCCTTGAAGTTACATTAAGAGAAAAGTCTCCCAAGAAACCTGTTGTTGAAGACCCATTGGAGAACGACTCGTTGATTACGTCCTCTGAATTCAGTGAGAGAAAAAGAAAGAAGGAGACAAAAAGGAATGGCAGAAGTGGAGAAGGATATTCATCAAGAAACTTCAAGAAAAGACGCATTAATCCGACGGAAGAGCCAGCGCCTCCATTGCCCATACAGTTCAAAAATGCAATCCTTGCCCTAGCACAAGGTAGAACTGTCTCGGAAGTAAAGTTGGTGATACAGAAGCAATTGTTCGCTAGTGATATGGCTAAGGATCAAAATCGGTTCACCATTCCGGCAAATCAGATTAGAGAGGAGTTCCTGAGCAATGAAGAGAAGATAAATCTGTCAAAGTACGTGAGTAAGGGACGAAAAATGGCTATGACAGTGAAGATTATTGAGCCATTGCTTGGTGAAGGAACTGTGGAGTTGAGAAGATGGGACTTGAAGAAATATTCAGGACGTTCGAGCTTGTCGTACGTGTTGAATAAAACTTGGGGCGAAATTCTTGAGAATAACAAACTCGAGATTGGGAATGTCATGCAACTTTGGGCTGCTCGAGTTGATGAAGAATTGCTGTTCGTGCTTGTCAAGCTTGCCTGAAGAGGATGACCAACATATTTTTGTAGTTAAATACTGCATTATTGTTACTTTTTTCTTGTTGGGTTTAACTGACGAACAATTTGTATATTCAAAGTAAGTTTTAGACAAAATATTTTGTAAATTTGGAGACGACAATTGCATGAATCAACTTGTAATTTGGTTTTTGATTTCGAATACAAGTCTGTGGGGGTTGGGATTATCAGAATTGCTTGATGACTGAAAATGATAAGAATTCTTCACTTTTCTATATATAAGACGCACGTAAAAGAACTCGTCCACGTGTAGCCACACATTTTCCCGCCCTTCGAAGTTTTTCAGTTTATATGCGTATTTACTTGACCAAATCTGGAATATTTCTCGCGTTTCCCATTCCAAAATATACGAAAATATATACGCAACTTCTTCTCTAAATCTCGAAAATTAACGAAATTGGAGGGAAATTAACGAAGCGTTTAGTTTCAAATATTTGATGAATTGGTAGGTATGGGTCTGGATTTCAATAGTGACTTAGCGAGCCTTGATGCCAAAATGTTGCAATTTCCTGAGCTGGAGGTGCCTATTCTGACCGTCGAAGCCAATCGTCATCTCGCCGAGAAGCTTTTTGATCAGTGGCTTTCGCTTCGGGAAACAAATAATTAGGTAAAATTGTTTTTATTTTGATTATTTATTTTCAGTTTTGGTCTATCAATATGATGGACCCTGGTTGCTGTTTAATTAATTGTGAGTTTCAATTTGGGATTTTTTTGCCTTTTTTTTTGTTTGTCTATTAAAGGATTGGCGTGTGAGTTAATAAATAAGGTTAAAGGATGAATGCTGCTTTACACGCAATGATGTTTGGGTAGAGAAAATGAGAAAAAGTACTGGGGATTTCATAGCGGAAATTGTGATTTTTGTTTGAAATTCCATCTCTGTTTCCTGTTGCTTTTTCAAGAATCGTTCGAAGGGGAACAAACTTGTTTAATTTCGGAAAGTGAAGGAACAGAAAATTATAGCCGGGTAATACAGATAGGAGTCTTTAATCGATCTTTTTTTCCGCTTTAGATTTCATCATCAAAGAGTGCCTTTGGTTATACTTGTTTGTGGTACTGCATGTGTGGGAAAATCTACAATTGCTACTCAACTTGCTCAGCGGCTAAACTTGCCAAATGTTTTGCAGGCAAGCCTCTTTTATATATAATCCCTTCTTTGGCATTTTTACTTGTATCAATCTCGGGTACAAACCGATCAGCATTAAATCTTATGCTATTAGATCCAGTTCAGTTATGTGCTAGTGCTGTTTGACTTTGCTGATACATTTTATTGATGCCGCAGACTGGCATGGTGTATGAACTCCTACGCACAGCAACAGAGTAGGTGATCCATAATTGTTTTTAATGCATTGTTGTTTTTCCAACATCTGAAATACTTGTCACAAATTTGGATTACACACTAACAAATTATAATTTGGCATTTTTCCAACTTGCTTTTATCTTGCATCATGTTTACTTTGTAAGCCTGGCACAGCTGAGGTGCTGCCCTGTTCTATGGGCACGCTCTCTCTCAAATCAACGGGCATAAAATTGCCACGTATCTTTGTCTTGACATTTGGTAGGATTGACTGGTTTTAAGGTTTTTTTTCGTTTCCTTTGTGGGTTCCCATTTCGCAACTGGATTTGTTATCAGGAGAGATCTCACACTAATATTATACTGTAAGTGTAAATTGTTAAAGAAGCTTGTGCGATATCAGAATGCTCATGCACCTATTATTTCATCTCAGTGCACCATTAGCATCTTCCCCTGTTTGGGCTAGAGATTTCAGCTCATCTGAGGAACTAATAACTGAGTTTTGTAGAGAATGTTGGATTGTTCGTAAAGGTAATGCAATAGCTCTACTACTATTAATCTAAAGCATTTTATGGACTGTAATATATATGAGAAAGAACATTCCCATGTAGGTTTGGCTGGTGATTTGAAGAAAGCGATGAAAGATGGGAAGCCGATTATAATTGAGGTATAGTTCTTTATGCTAAATTACATTGTGGCTCCTTTCTTAACATACTGGCAATGGCTTTGTGTTTCTTATTCTAAATATTTCCCTTATCCATGCCAAAAATGTAATAAGTTAATTATATTTTTGGGAACCATACAGTTGATGTAATTGAACCAGCTTATAAAAATGGAAATGAAGAAGAATATGGGCTTATGCTGATTTCTAATATATATAATACATGTAAACTTGTATTTCTGTGTGTTTGGTTCATGATGTAAAATGATTGTAGATTCAGTAATAATATTAAACAAAGGGAAAAGCGATGGGTTTGTAGGACAACATTGTATACATAACAAGGAGTTGTGAAATTTATTTTCATTTGAAAGTTAAGCCAACCTGACAACATTTTTTCTATTGTAATTATACCGATAATGAGGAAGCCGAATTTGAACAATACCAGAATTTAAGGCTGTTTACTCTATGAACGCTATATTTCCTTTTCATTATGTCATGAAATTAGAATTCCAAATTTTTCACTGCAATAACATTTTGATTTCTTTTGAATTGTGTATTGCTTGGCAAATAAGTGCAGGGCCCAATGAGTTGTATTTTATAGACCGGTTCTTTCCTGTTGATTTTGTGATATTAAATGTTAGTGTAAGTAACAAGTTTATAGGTTTCTTTAGAAGCTTCCCTTAAATCGACGTTCCCAATAAAACAAGGAGTTTTGATAACACCACTTTAGTTTTCGGAACCAGGTCATCTGGTCATGACAGTGGGGTTTTGTTTTTGAATTAGTTTTTAGGTCTGAAACCAGCAGAGTTTTTGAGACTTTGATAACAGTTCTTCAGCTAAATTTGGTATGATGGAATGGCCTAGAATGGAAAAGCCACTCAACGTATAATGCTATTCTACCCAGAATAAGCAGGAATATTGTTATCCATTTCACTGTTTGACTAGGTAGCAGTATGCCAGCATCATATGATATGAATTTTCGTGACACATATAAGAAAGAAAGATGCTGGAAACATTCTGGATGCTATCACATTATATTTTCTGGGAACTGATGATGAACACCATGAACTTGTAACCTTACCCTTGCGCTGATCCATGTTGTTTGTTCTACAATGACAGGGAATGCATTTGGATCCAAGTATCTACTTAATGGATGATGAAAATAAATTATCAGCAGCCTTGCCAGCAATAGTTAAAGAGAAGTCTTTGGAGAATGATAAAAATGGAATGGTAGTTGAGAATGATTCTAGTACTGAATGTGGTAATCAAGGCAAGAGCGATTCCGGTCATCAGGAAGGGAGATCAGGGGAATTGGTATCTGACATGGATAGAGTTGCGGACGATCTGAAATCTTTGGATATAGGTAGCGGTCTACCTGATAATAAAGGTGAAAACTTTTGTTCTTTTCTGTGCTAAACACTGTTCTTTAGTTCTGGCATAAGGCATTTGTGTACTATGTTTTCTTTACAGGAACTTTTATGGTTGGATAAATCTTCGTTTCTAACTTTTTACTAATCCACAGGTGAAACTGTTAGAGATTCTGAAGCAGACAAGGCTCCTTCAGTCAAAAGAGAAAAGTCAGGTCCTGAACCCATAATAGTTCCAATAATCCTAAAGATGGCCGACTTTGATCATAAGGTGTGTTAAAAATAGCCTCCTTTCTGTTACCAAAGTAGGAAGCTTAAGAACCTACAATTCAAGCCTTATTTTCTTCGTTAGATTTCGCCCTAATAAATTTATTGCTCTTGCACAGGCATTGCTAGAGGAATGGATATCTACTCGTAGCTGTGAAAAATATCCAATTAAGGTTTCAGTACCAAGCTAGTGTAATTGCTTCAAATTTAATTTAATTGCAGGCTCCAAATGTCTTTGGATGAGGAGATTTTATTTCTGTTCCTTAATTTACTTTTATCAGTATTTCCATTGGAGATTGAAGTGTGATTAATAAATTCATCGCCTTGCTACTATTTTAAGATAAATCTGTAATATAACAAGGTACTAGAGTTAGCAAAGGTCCTGAGGTTAAATCTCACATGTACCCATTTACGAAAAACTTCCATAAATTGAGGGACATGTTGAAAAATAAATAAATAAATAAATTCATCCCCTCTTTGTCGGCTAAAACTTTTAGATGCCGTGGTAGTTCTACAATGTCTGTGCACTTGTTATCTGTATGGTTTCTTATAATTTTGACTAATGTACTTCTTTCTGATCTTTTTTCCAGGACAAAGATAAGCTAATAAGCAACTTAAAAACAATCCAGGATTATCTCTGTTCATTTAAGTCACAGGTATGATCAATTTCACCTTTCACGAGCCATCAGATGGTGGAATAGAATTTTCATGTACATAAATGTGCAACGTATTCGAGGATGTGAAGTGGTTTGTTAATTATATGCCGTAAGGAATTACTGAGGACTCTCAATGGTGAACCAGCTTCTCTCTCTCGCTTTTATGGGAGTGAGGGGGTGGGGGGCTATGATAGTTTCTTATTGTAGAAAAGATCTGTTAGATGACAATTTCCAGATTGATTCTCTGACACTGTTCATCATGGTTGCCTGAGGTAACCATTGTTTTCTTTACTCGGACGCAAAAATATTAGAACTTGCTGTGAACAGCGAACACAAGCTCACTATATCTCCCTGTCCCTTTGTTCTTTATGTTAATCCTGTTGATTTTGTCAAAGTAAATTCAATCAGATAGTAATTATCTATTTTTGATTCAGATTATGCATGCATAATTTTGCCATCACTGTCTCCACTCAAAAGAAGAAATCTGAATTTTTTTTCGAAGGGATTAAAATAAAGATCTTGTAGGAGTCTCTTGTATTGTTGATCCACTCAAAAGTGGAAATCTGATTTTTTTTTTCGAAGGGATTAAAATAAAGATCTTGTAGGAGTTTCTCGTATTGTTGAGTAAATAATTTATTAGGCGAGTTGCATCATTGGGAAAACATGTATTATTTCTTTAATGCTCATTGTGTTTCACAATGTGAGCAGGGTTTAACAGTTGTCAACATATCTGCAACAACCTTCCCCCAAACACTGGATTGGCTACACAATTATCTTCTTCAGGTAATCTATATTCTTAAATATTTGAGGTAAGCTGATACCTGCCTAGCCTTCCAGTTGTGTTTTGTTTAATTATCCATAGATTTCACTTATTCTACATAAATCTGGAAGCCTGCTTATTATTTTACACATTGGAATGTCATATTTCTTCTACTGAAAGAATCATTTTAATGTCATAAACGGAGAGAGAGGAGAGGGAAGGGTTGATAAAATTGTTAGTGTTTGAGTGCACCTACCCTATTAGCCAAGATGAATGAATATCCTGCAGTAAGAAATGTCATCTCATACTGTTAATTCTAAATGGTTTTTTTTCTATGTTCAGTGTATTGAGCAGGGTACATCGTCTGTTTCTAGTGGGAATTATGGGCAGATGGTGGAAAATTAGATTGCATAATGATAATAGTTTGATGAATTTAAGGTATGCTTCTTTTTACTCAGAACCTATTGACTTTTGCAAAATTCTGCCTTTTGTATGCATTATTGCTTGTATCTATCTCATCAAGTTCGAAATCTAGTAATTGAACAAGGTCCAGTAGGTTTGACTTTGACATGTTCTATCACAATAGGTTAAAGCTAATTGTTGAATGACCGAGTTTTAGAAGATAACAATGGTAAATGCATATATGATTGTCCCACAAAACTTGAATAACTTTGCAGCCTTTTGCTGCTATAGTTCTTCATGTATGTGAAATTGCATATGCTATTTATAGACGTGAATACCTTCTTCGGGGAAGGACAAATGTCGTGTGGCTCTACTAGAACGCCAACTAGAGGAGGTGGCAACGACTAAGGATAAATTAAGGGAATGATGCCCTATAGCTGTTGAAACTTTTCTTGCATAGATGTGGTGAATGTACTGCATAGAATGGCATGTAGTTGAAATAAGGATTTATTTAGTCTGGCTCGAACTAAATGATTCATTGCAACATTCTCATTCAGAAGCAACTAGGCACTCGAGTCACTGAGTTGTCACTGTCCTATTTACACCCCCTGTTTTCACCTGTTATTCTAATTATGACCTTATGCATTTTCTCTCCGGAAGGTCTTGCAACACTATTTGGCATGTGGGCGAGAAAAGGGTAATGGTGAGTTGGTAAGTTCACTAGATCGAGCTCTGCCTGTTGGAGATCCAAGACTTGGCATGAATAAACGAAGTACGTGGTATCCTGAGATTACCTTCGGTGGATTCCAACCCCTCCACCCGCAGCTCTTATTGTAAGCTCATGTATTGGTTGTAATTGCAGATTGCCTTCTCTAAAGATGTGGCCCATTTGAACATATTGATAGTGTAAGTTATAAAAAGCTAGAAAAACCACCCATATAGAAGGGCCTTCAATCTTTTAAGTCATTCTTATGCTATGATAAATAAATCTGAATTATTCTCTCGCACTCGTGCTATTATAAATAAATCTGAATTCCAAATTGTTCCAAGTTTTGATGCTCCAAGTGTATGTCTATGATCTTTGATCAATATAGAAATCATCTATATCGAATTGGTTTAGAGCGCACTCGTGTGATTTTAGCTAAGTATACTGTTTTGCCTTCTAATGCACGCTATTAAGCCCTTTTTTCTCTGTACATCTGTTGAACATATTCAATGCAAAAGCAATCAAAACTGAAGGAGAAAGTTAAGTAACAAGAATCCTGGCACTTAACAATTGAAATTAAACTCCGTGAGCCATTCCCTTCGATGAATCAAGCTCTGGTTGAGCAGGGAAAACTACATGCTCATAAAGAATTCTTGTATCCAATCCTATAGACTGCTTGATTCTTGAAACTCCCTCCCCACAAGTGCAGAACCGACGGAGTAGGAGGGATTCGTCGATCCACCTTGAAAGGCACCGATGCCAGGATGTTAGCAGCTTACACCAGCCCTATGGCCTACGGGCCAATTGCTGACATGGAACCTCACCCCGGATCCGCAGTAGCATATACTGTGTATATCAATGTAAATGTCATCATGCCTTCCGATATGGCTGCACCAGAACGATTCATTTCATGAGTTGGTGGAACGTGCTGCAAAACTGAAAAGAAGACTTTGAGAATGTTGCTAGAAAGAGATTGCATTTAGGGGGTTGCGAACTAACCATAGAACTGTGTCATATTAATGTAGAGTACAAATTTCGAAAGCATTGACGACTGTAGTACCTGTCCAACAGTTGTTACTCTTAACAGAACGCAAGCCGTGACAGAGCCAAGGGTCAGAGATAGGGGCGGAGTCAGCATCCAGCGAGTCATGGTGGCCGCCCGTGTTGACTCTGCCAAAATTGTTTTTCCCCGTATATTGGCGGCTGCTCGCCTAGATCTGCTCTAATTCACTCGAATTTCTGGATTCGCTACCAAATTTTGAGAAATCCAGTAGAAAATGGCCATCAGAATGATTGTGTGGCCTCCAATAGCCATTCCAAATGTTACTACGGGATTCAAATGGCCACCGGAGAGATTAGAAGCAAAATATACAGTGCTACTGATAATGCAAATGCATTTACAACTGCAATAGCTACAAGACTGGGTGAATCTGATGCTACATCTGGCATCATTTTCCCTGTAATTTGATGACTAGCCAACAAATACAAACAATGAATCATGCCAAAGCCAAACAACAACAAATTAAGCCCTATTAACAATAGATTTGGTTGACTGCATAATCATGTCAAGGACAAAAGAGAAAAATGGTGCAATATTCTCCTCAAATGCTACGAAACAACTCATTGAGAAGCAGAAAGCATAATTGTTGGATTAAATAATTCTCTCCAAATTCATTCAAAGGTTGCTATTGCCAATAGTCATTCTTAGAACATCTTAGATTATAAATCAATCAAATTTTTGCATGTCCTTCAAGAACTGAAGAGGTTTTGTTCACAAGAGCAATAAAACTTTAGTAGAAATATCAAAAACTTGGGAGAGCATCCACAAATCAAATTAAATTATAAATAGATAGATAGAAATAAGTGATGAATAATTAATTAGTACTTTTGAATCATTCGAAATGTGTGGATAAAAAAAGACTTGAGTATTTATAAATATGAGCCAAATACAGGATGAACAAAGAGAGATCATTTGTTGGGAAATAGGCATGGTAACATATTTCAAGCATCTCTTCTAAACATATGCAAATCAAGCGACGAAATATAAGGCGAAAATGGTGAGATGAGAAAATAGATTTCTCCACAAAATTGTCAACTCCGTGTTTATACGAGTATATGAGGATAGAAAAAATTTAGAGAGTCATGTAAACTTTACATCAACTTGATGTGGTCGGACTATTTGAATTAAGTAACTGTTTGACAATCATTATTTGAAAAAAAATATTCCTAAAGGTTTATTAATTCAAAAATTTCTTTACTTTTTAATCGCATATCTATAATATATTAATATCACATCAAGTGGGAATCATTTTTTAGACGATTGTAACCCTACTAGAATTTAATTATTTCAATAATACGTTACTTTTCGTATTTCAATATATAATAAATACTAAAAATCCTTGTCATGTATGAATTTCGTGTCATTAATTCTTAATTAATTAACATTCAAATTAGTCTAAACTCAATGAATCTTTACTTGATGAATCTTGATCTACACGAATATAGATTATTATAGATGAATTTATTCCTAATCATGTATCTAGGAATTATAATGGGTGTTTAAATTCATGTATTAGATTAATTCTTATGTACCAAATATGGGTATAAAAATATTGCTCATTGTAGTATTTTATCGTCACAAAAAATTTGAATCGTAGAAGTAGAGTTTTGAGAGTACAATTTTCTTCCCTTAAATTTTTATTCTAAATTTTATTTTCTTCAGATCATTTGATACGTACTCATCAAATCCTCATAACAAATTAGTATCAAATATTATTTTTACTACGTTGATAAAATATTTCAGAATTGCACGTTCAACTTGACTAATTCTCTTAAAAATCACTATTCGAAACATTGTTTTGACCAAATAATGTTCAGGGACTGTGAGTTATATTGTCAAAAGTAAAGTGAAAATGTGAAAATAATAAAAACGATAAAATATTTTTGTCCAATCAAAAAATAATTTATGCTCACTCTTCTCCCACACGCTCACGCCCGAGATCCAAAGTCCACATCCCAGGTTTCACCGACACAAAATCCTCTGCACTGGCGCCAATTCACACCCGAGATCCAAAGTCCACATCCCAGGTTTCACCGACACAAAATCCTCTGTACTGGCGCCAATCCACTGTCAACAAAAGGCAAATCTAAGGCTTAGCCGGTGAACAAAATCTACATACGGCAACGAACTTCATAAAATATTTAGTACCCGAAAGGTACATTTCCTTCGTCAATCGATAATTTAATTCGACAGCCGCACTTCTATTTTGTGTTGATTTTAGGGTTCGATTTGATTTAGAGTAACTTTTACTTCTATTTTGATTCTGCATTCCTTTTTACTGCATGTGATTTCGAAGTTTTAAGGGTGGAAATGAAATACGTGTTGATGTTCTGGAGTTAAATGTGTTGTAGTTGATACATGGACTTGGATTGCTGAATTGGTAATTTTATTTTTAATGATATGGTGTTTGGAGAGAGTGTAATCAAAATCTGAGCTAGTAATTATTTGGGTTTTCGTTTTTCTTTCTTAATGTTGCAATTTATTGCCTATTTTGAAGGAAATGGCACGTTTTTGAATGTTTTGGAGTTAATGTATTATAGTTGATACATGGACTTGGATTTACTAAATTGGTATTTGCAATGTTGTGATATTTGATAAGTATGTAACAAAAATCGGAACTAATGTGCTAAATGTTCAGATTAGATGTCAAATGATGTGGAAAATCCTAAAGATGGGAATGCTACTAAGGGGTCGGATGTTCCATCCATTTCCCCGGAGCTCGAATCGACGTGGTATAGTAGCTTGCTCCAGCACATCTCAATCTATGGTATAGCTGCGGGTTATTGCATTTCAGCTTCATTGCTTTCGATCATCAATAAATGGGCTGTCATGAGATTTCCTTACCCAGGAGCTCTAACAGCTTTACAGTACTTAACGAGTTCTGCCGGAGTGCTAATTTGTGGGTGGCTTAAGATAATAGAGCATGATAAGCTTGATCTTGTTACAATGTGGCGGTTCCTGCCTGCTGCAATTATATTCTATATGTCACTATTTACAAACAGCGAGCTCCTCCTCCATGCCAATGTTGATACGTTCATCGTCTTCCGTTCGGTGGTCCCTGTATTTGTTGCAATAGGAGAGACCCTATATTTGCACCAGCCTTGGCCAGCATTGAAGACATGGTTGTCGCTTGGTACTATATTTGCTGGTAGTGTGCTTTATGTCATAACAGATTATCAGTTCACTCTCATGGCTTATAGTTGGGCTTTGGCTTACTTGGTGAGCATGTCCATAGATTTTGTTTACATCAAGCATGTAGTTATGACTATTGGTTTAAATACATGGGGTCTTGTGCTGTACAATAATCTTGAGGCTTTGCTGTTATTTCCTCTGGAGTTGCTTATAATGGGAGAGTTGAAGAAGATAGAGCATGATATCTCAGATGAATCAGAATGGCATTCCTTTCAGGTTGTCTTGCCAGTAGGGCTGTCATGCTTGTTTGGTTTAGCTATATCTTTCTTTGGATTCTCTTGCCGTAGAGCAATTTCAGCTACGGGATTCACTGTTCTTGGAATAGTGAACAAGCTTCTGACAGTTGTGATAAATCTAGTAATTTGGGACAAACACTCAACTTTTGTGGGAACAGTTGGACTCTTGATTTGCATGATTGGTGGTATCATGTATCAGCAATCTACAAGCAACGGACCTAACCCGGTGAAAGAAGTAAATGCTCAAGAGAATGAAGAAGAACAGAACCTGCTTGAAATGCAAAACGTTACAGAGAGCAGTGCCAACGAGAAGCGAGTTACAGAATCACGAGAAGGAAATAAATAATTAATTTTATAGGGAATTCATAGTACATTATTTCTTTCTTCTTGAAAATATTCGTTTGTGTGCTCTAGTGCAAGTGAAGTGGGTGCAGCAGGTTGCAAGATTCTCCTACAGCCTGTCGTTGACTTGTTTTAACAGGAAATTTTCACAGTTCAGCTAGATGCACAATCAAGTTCATCTCCCAATTCTTTGCTACTAGTATGATTATTTTCTGATGATTCAAGGAAATTGATTTCGATGCAGCGCTGCATGTTTTGAAAATCTTTTCTTAATCTTTGAAGACTATACTATTTCACAGAATACATGTAACATCCCAAATTTTTACTTCTAGTTAGATTTAAATTTAGGACTTTAAGTGCGCTATTATTAAAGTTTAATGATTTTATTGGTAATTGACCTAGTCTAATGACCTTATTGGTTATTGACCAATAGTTTGAGGATCTAAGTGGAAAGTTATTTTGGAAGTTAGATTAAATCATGCTTAAAACATATGCAAGTATGCTAGTTAGTCTTGATTAAGGATGATTCATTGATCATATGCATTATTCACACCACATTTTAAGTCAATGTAATTGAAGTGATCACGCAAATCAAGGACATTGATTTGATCACATGCATTATTTGCACTAAGTTTTTAGCCAAGTTATTTGATTTGACCACATGATTAAATGTATTAATTGACCATTTTAATGACAACACACCATTTATGCATTTATCATTTCTAACATCTAGCCATTTCCTTTCACTTTTTGACACATGGTCAAGAATTTACCCTATAAATAGGAGACAAACTTAACACTCAACTACCCTCAACAATCATTTACACACTTTCCCTCTCTATCTTTATAACTTTGTCTCTCGTCATTTTTATATTCGTACAATTATACAATCATACATGAATAATCAACTCCACATGCGGCTCAAGGATCTCTTTCCAACAATAACTCATTTTATCATTTTGAATTGTCCAGTGAAGAGGTAAGTTGTGCTTTATGTTTATGGTGGCTAATGTTTGTGCTTTATGTTTATGGTGGCTAATGTTTATGTGTGCAATATTTCTACGGTCATGTTATGTTTTGGTCCATGTTACGTATGTTCTATTAAGATTGAACCAGAGTTAAGTAGCGCTACGCACGAGAATTTAGTACCACCTAAGTTCGGTCTAATTTTCGTCTCTCTATGCAAGTTATGGATTTTCCGTAGAAATACAAATATGAATTCATTATCCACGCACGCTTATTGAGAATTATTTTCACTCTATTATGTCTACTTTCATATAATTAATGATTCGAGGAGGTCGGCACGGAGATAGCTTATGGTGGCAAAAGATTCAATAATAAAATTCTTACTTGATCAAACTATTATTATTTAATTTAATTTTAAATAATTTTAAAATATTCCTCGTTTCAAGTAATGTATTAAATTTATTACATAATTTGAATTTTAGTAAGTGCTTAAATAATTTATATAATTGTTTTGAATATCCTTTAAATTTCCTTTAGTTTATGATTTAGTGACACTTGAATCATTAAGGATTCGGGTCGTCACAATACAGCAAGTGTTTAAACCCTATTAGAAGCAACAATGAGACTCCTTTCCTTTTCATGTGCCATTAGGATTTTATCAAACTGGGTTGTGTAAACCTCTATTTTGTCAGGTTCATTTGATGTCAGTTTGGCCTACGGTTTATATTTCAAATTTGCATCTTGATTTATACCTTTGAATAACGTACCATGGTATATTTGAAGTTATATGTGTGTCAAAATTTATGCCCTGTTCGAAATCCGTACCCAAAAATCGCCATGTGTTTGTTTTTTATTGTTGGAGCATTGAAGTATGTTTTATTGTTGGAACATTGATTCACTGTATTTTCTTAATTCAGTTTGGTGGAACTAAGTTTTTACTTTTTAGAACTCGATGCCCTAATCAGAATCCTACATGGCATGATCCCATGATCCATCCATTCTTGTTATTTCTTGCCCGATTGGTCTCCAAAACTCGATATTAGTTCCATCTAATTTCGTGTGGCTCTCCATATCGTAGGTTGAATCCTATGTAATATGATCCAGTGATTTGGTTCTTGTTAATGTTATTTCTTGAATGATTTCACAACTTCTTGCCTGATTTCATGTGGCTCTCCAAAACCTCGAGTTGTATGTTGAATCCTACGTAATCTGGCTTCACTCTTTATTTGTCTAATTTTACATGGCTCTCCAAACCCCATGTCCTAGGTTGTGTCATATGCAATGTGAACCCACGATTTGGTTCTTGCTATTGTCGGAATTAATGGGTATATTATGATTAAAATGTGCGAATTGAAATAAGTTTTCAATATGTGCGAAGATTGGATGCGACTCTTCAAGTGCAATAGCATGACTTTTGGATAGGATGCAATCTGGACCACTGAATCATGATCCAATCTAAAAAGGGACGAGAATGGGGAAAATGATAACCGCCTTGAACTTTTTGAATTTGTCTCGAGTCTTTCCATTTATTTTTTTGTTTTTCAATTTAAAATATATTTTATTAATAAATAAACAGGATTGTAGATGGGTTTTTTAATCTCCATCTAGCTTCCTGACGAGCACTATCATGTCTTCTTGTCATCCTCAAGATTTTCCATCCACTTGCTTAGTCATTCACTTTTTTCAAGATTTTTTTACCCAAATTTTAGATTCTTGGCCTTACCAAATAGCGTTACCAATTGTCAAATAGTAGCAATGCTTTGAAAATAGACTGCAGAGCGTAAAAAAATGAAAAATAAGAATCTTTTAAAACAAGCTAAGAATCAGAAAGTTCCCTTTAAATTTTTGTTTTCGATTTTTCAAATATCTTTTTATCATATATCTGACCTCAAAACCAAATTCAACCATTTGGCCCTTTATCTTTTCCATGTTCTTGTTGCCAGGGATAGCATTATGACCACTTTAAACTACATGTCAAAATAAACCCAAGATTGGAACCATGTGCCTGTTGAGTTTGAGCTATGATCAATTATACTACACTTGGTAAACCTAATCAAGAACAAATGTGATTAAAAACTCAACAGATTGGACCAAACTTGTCCCCTCCCCATGCTGATCAAAGGAGTATATCATTATATTGAAGGTGCCTTAACTCAAAGTGGTCATTGAACGACATTGATAGGACAACATAGGTCGGGGGCTAGTCATTGGACTCTCATGGAGGAGCTAATGCTCTCCACCAATTAGAATTCATGGAGGTACTCAAGTGGCCCACGTACCAATTTACGACATGTTGATGGGCAAGATCAATGTGGTGTCAGCTCCATTACGCCTATATAAATGGATTATTTATCTATTTGGGAGTAGGCTACTCAACTCCACTCCACTTCAGCTAACTATATAATTCTCTATTTTTTGTCCAAATTCTCTAAATCTCACATAAGAGGACTTGTTGTGCCCCCAATCACGTGACAATCAATTGAATTCACTATTTTTTCTTACCTTTTCAAGTCAAAATTCTTCCCATGAATTCAAAAAAGTTAGTAAAAAAATGCAATGTCATTTTTGGCCATCAATATAGATATTGAATAGTACAATCATAGCTCATTGATGAATAGACCAACATGATAATATGATACTGCTCTAATTTAGTGCCTGTTTGATACTATTTAATTTATTTTATAGTTTACTACATGACTATTTTCAACTATGAGTGGGCATATTTTCTCGGAATCGATAAAATCGGACAAGAACCAAATAGAACTGACGGGTTCAGTTCGACTCCTCATTTACTACATGACTATTTTCAACTAAGAGTGGGCATATTTTCTCGGAATCGATAAAATCGGACCAGAACCAAATAGAACTGACGGGTTCAGTTCGACTCCTCTCCTAAATCTATCAATTTTGGGATAGTACATTGAGAATCGTTCAGTTTCGATCTGATTCTCGATACTGCCTTGAGAGTGAATTCGATTCTCCAGAATTTTTTTATTTATTTGCACCAATATACGCTAAATCTTTGAATACTAGATCCCAAAATTATCTTACGTTAAAATTTCATTTTTCATATACTTCTACTTCTTTCATTTAATCAACCCTACTACTTGTACAAAAAAAAAATTTGACAAAAAAGTTGACAAACCCTCACAATGTGGGGGGCCCACTTTTTATTTTCAATTTCTTATTCACGTGGGGCCGACAATCATGTGAGGGTTTGTCAACTTTTTTGTCNGGCCGACAATCATGTGAGGGTTTGTCAACTTTTTTGTCAACCTTTTGTTGTACAATTAGCTTTTTTCTTCATTTAATAGATTAATCAAAATCAAAATTTAAATAATTTTATAAATACTTTACCTAATTTGAATGGACACAATCCTACTTCCTAAAGGAAAAATAACTAACCCTAAATCCCTAATAATGTGAACTTTTATATGCTTCTCTCCGAGGCACTAGTAGACATAACGCAATTGATCCATACTTCATAAATTTTAGGGTTTCTCATTTCAGTTATTTGTAAATTTATTCCAATATATATTCTTGTTACAAGTTTTAACCTCTTCAATTTATCAAGAATGGATGCACAGAGGGCTTTGCTTGATGAACTCATGGGCGCAGGTAAGTTTCTCTTTCCTTAAACCCTAATTTCTACATCTCAATACTGGGATTTCTTTCGTCTAAAAGTTCACATTTTTTTTTTCTACATTTTGAGCAATAAATTTCATCTCGGCATACTTTCAGAAACCCTTTAGCTGAGTTTTGATCGGATGAACTAAAGCTTAAGAAACCGGGAATTGCTGGAGTGAATCTGAACTAGGAATTGAGAATTTTCCGATTAAAAACTTGTAATTTTAAATTAGGCAAACTCGATCTTAATTACATATTTCATCTGCATTTTTTTTTTAAGCAACCACATTTGTTTGGGAAAAAAAAATCGGTTACTTTCATTTCCTAATTTTCTTTTTTATTTTTTCCCAGCACGTTTTTTAGTTGGGCCTTTTTTCCATTATTATTTTGTGTTTTTGTTCATTATGTAGC